TAACTTCCCAGGCATTTCCAGAAATGAACAAAAATGAAAAGGTGCCACTCCCTACTCTCTCTGAAAACTAGCTAAAAAGAACAATCTCAGAAGCAGGTTGGCAAATCCCTGAACTATTATTTATACACAGTTATCATTTATAAAGTGTTTATGTGCTAGACACAATGATAAGCATTATATATATATTGTTGAGAAACACTTTAATATACATTGAGGTAGTTATCATTTTCCCTTTTATAGATACAGAGACTTAGATTTAGACAGATTGGCTAAGAAATGGATTAGAAGTTGTGCAGCCAATACTCAAATCCAAATCTGGCTGACTCCATGGCCAGCCTCTTAAACATTCTCATGTCTAACATTCTCATGTCTCTCCTGTATAGCTTGGACCTCCATACATATAAAAGTAGAAGATTTGGATATGCTTTACGCTTCTCAGTGGAAAATACGACATAAATTCAAGATGTTGTCATTATTACTGTACTACCTGGAGTATGTATTACTGTGCTATATTTAAGGATTGCCCCCGTCACTCTCTTGGTCTGCAAAGGAATACATTAGAAAGATAAACACTATAGAGACAGCTTGCATTGTAAATGGAGACAGCTTGGGTTGTAAATGATGAGTGATACAAGTTAGTTAAACATTTCAATACTAAGACTTTTTTTCTATAATAAAATGTCATCTTTATCAAATTGTGCAGTATTAATCAGTATCACTAAAGGAGCTAGATAAGTCTGCAGTTAACAGTTTGCCTCTGAGCAATGTTTCCTATTTAATTTAGAATGTTTCCTTTTTCTTTGTAATGTAAAGTACGCATTACTAAGAAAGAATAGTGTCAGAAAGCCAATACTTTTTAGAGGTGGTGTAATTAATAGTCTACATGTGATCAGAAGGGTTTTTGTTTAACCTTCTTGCATAGAAAGAAAAATGTGTATGGAAAATTACATAAAGTAAAATATTTTTAAAATTCAGGTAAAATAATAATACTACAAAAAATGGAGATATAACAGCCCACTGCAAATTATGGATTTAATTTGACTTAACATAGATCATAGTTTCAAATAAAGTTGGCATGTGTTTTCAGAAAAAATATTGAATGCAACTGAACTAAGTCTTGAATCAAATCCAGAATCCTTCTCAAAATATCTACTGTTATAATCTTCAAAGTCAAAGGATGCTGATTTGAAAAATACAAGTGTAGAAAAGCAACCAGATGAAATACTGGAGATAAAGAGTCTGCTGTGGTCTTGGTCTGATTCCTTTTAGGTCTCCTTCTCTAGGAAAACTTCTGCGATATTTATTTTTTTGTTATTCTCTCCCTCTCTCCTCCTCTCTCTCTTCCCCCACCTGCCTACACACACATTTATGTACATACATATCAGAAAAATCTACCTAATTATACATGCATGTATATGTATACTTTTTAAATAAAGTTTTATTAATTGGAATATAACAGACAAACACATCTTAAGTAACAGTTCAGTGAATGTTCACAAGTTGAATGCATACATGAAACTATGACCTAGATCAACATTCACAGCGCTCTAGAGTTCCCAGCTCCCTTTCATGATCTTTGATCAATATTCTAATAGCTAACAGTATAGGTTGGCTTTACCTGTTTCTGCACATCATATAACTAGAATCAAACAAATGTATTTTTTTTTGTATATGGCTTCTTTCACTTGTTTGTGAGATTTGCCCACATTGTTGTGAGCAGTAGTGTTTCATTTATTTTAATTGATGTATTGTTTTCTGTCAAATGAATATACTATATTGGTCCTGCTCTCAATATACATTTGGGTTGCTTTCAGTTTGGGGCTATTTTGAATAATGCTACTATGAAAATTCTTATCTATGTTTAGGTATGTGAATGTATGCATTGTTATCGCACGTATATCTAAGAGTAGAATTACTGAGTCACAGGAATATATGTGGTCGTTTCAGTTGACAGTTTTCCACAGTGGATGAACCAAGTTCTTGTCTCACCAGCTGTGGATGAGAGTTCCCAACCTTGACTAGTAGCATTAGCAGTCTGTTCAGTTTTATTCATTCTTATAGGCCCCTAATCTTAACGCATTCTGGCTTTAAATTGCATTGTTCTAATGATGAACGAACTAGAGAATGTATTTGTACGTTTATTGGGTATTGCATACTCTCTTTTGTGAAGTGCTCATTCAGGTTTCTTCTCATTTTTAATTGGGTTTGTCCTTTCTTACTAATTTGTATGGGTTCATTACATAGTCTGGGTATTAGTCCTTTTTGGTAAGATCTAAAAAATATTTCTCCCACTCTCTAGTCTTCTTTTGATAATCTCTTAATGTTGTTTTTGAGGAACAGAGTTTGTAACTTTAGTGCAGCCCAATTTGTCAATCTTTTTTTGTGATTAGTACCTTGTGTCATATTTAAGAAAGCTTCACCTAACCAAAAGTCATGCAGATATTTTCTTGTGTTAACTTTTAGAAATTGTATTTTTTTACCTTTTATATTTATATTAACAATTCATCTGAGATGGGGGTTTTTAACCTTGGAATGTAGGGGTCAGTTTTTCTATTTTCCATGTGAATATTAAGGTGACCTTGTACTGTTTACTGAGGCTGCCCTGTCTTCACTCTCCAGTGTCATATTTGTTATAAGCCAAGTGATAAGTCCTAAGTCATGTGTACATTTGTTTATGGATTATTTTAGTCCTTTGTTCTATTCAGCTTTGTACCAATATCATACTAAATTTTTTCAACTTTTTATTTGTAGTGTGTCTTTTTAAAGATTGTTCCAAGTATCTTTGACTTTTCATTTCCATATAAATTTCAGAATCAACTTGTTAATATTAACAGCAACTTTTTATGATGAGATCTGTACCAGAATTGCATTGAATCTAAATATCAGTTGGGGAGAATTGGTATGTTACAGTATATACTAAACAAATACTTGCAAATATATTCCAGTAATATGTAAAGAAGATAATATATCAGGATCATGGTGAGTTTAGTCAAGGAATAAAAGGTGGTTTCATATTAGAAAATCAACCAGTGCAAATAGCCATAACAGAAAAAAAAGACATCCCAAAATCTTCTCAGTGGGTGCAGGAAAAAACATTTGCTCAACATCAAAATTCATTCATGATAAAAACTCTTTGCAAACTGGAACTAGAAAGGAACTTCTTTAATGTGTTAAAAAGAGATACTGACAACTTCTTCCCTGACTCTGGGATTGGAACAGGATTCTTCTATGCCACATTTTACTGAAAGTCCTGACCAGCAACAAGGAAACTAACTCAGACTTTTTTACTCAGCAGCTGACTTCTGCAAAGTGAGAGTGCCAAAATACAGAAGTTGCTAATCTGGAAACTGGCACAGTGTCATTTCTACTGTGTTCTGTTAGTTAAAGTAGTCACAGAGTCACCCAGATTTAAGAGAAGGGGACATAGACCCCACTTTTCAGTAGGAGGAATGTCAAAGAATTTATCACCTCCAGTCTGCCACAAGTTCTTACATGTTAGGGGCTATTTATTTTTGCAATAAAATTTGAATTCTAGTTTGGTTGGGGTAACTTGAGCTCTACCTTGATTGAATATAAAATTATGAGTCATTAATTTGCTTATTGGGGTCTTCCTAGGCTGTGCTCTACTGTTTTTCAACATTGGTTGCTGCTGTGGAGAATGTTGTGGCAATATTCATTATTTTACTCCTTAGAGCCGAAGTGGGTTCCATTTGTTTATTTTGGTTTTTCTCTTGGCCTAATTGCACACATATATCTGCTTTTATTTTAAGGATAGTATGTCCCTCAGACATATTTTACATACATATTTTAATCTCCTTTAATATATAATTAATGGTACTAATAGATATCCAAAGTTTTAAATCTATATTAAATACATATGTGGAAATATATGTTGTATGTTTGTATATGTATATATACATATATATCTCTCCAAACTTTTAACCCCTCCTTCATATTTCTATTATTTTGATAAATTTTCTCAAGTCTGTTCTCCCTGTACTTTCCACAAATCTCTTTTTAGGCTTCTTGTACTGTAACTATCAATGGTTTTATTATCTTCTTTAAGCTGATGTAGCCATTCCTTGGGTTATTTTTCATGGGGTTTGTATTGTCTTTAATCTGTTTGACTGGCTGATAACTCTCACTTGCTTTGGTTGTATATCCTTAAGCTTGCACTGTTTCTTTTCTCTTTGTTCATTGATATCTTCACATATTCCTCCTCCTGCCTGCCTCCTCCTCTAGTAGTTATCTTGAATGGGTGTGATAGAGGTTTCCTATGGGTTGGCAGGGGAGGAATCAGCTGGCGATTTGTAGTGTGATCTCATGATTCTGCGTTTCCCTCATTTTTGTTTCTTCCTGAAGTAGTGAGCTTGTTCTAGACTAGCAGAGAGACTTTCTGGTGCATAAGGATGTCAAGCATGTCTAATTTTGGATATGATCCTTTAAATCAGTAGCATAGACCAATGCAGTTTCTGTCCCACCTTACTTTACCAAGAACTTATTCTGTAAAAATGGTATGTCAGGATACTAAATAAAATATATCTGCTTTGGGGATGGTATTGTCATTCCAAGCAACAGGGCAGTGGGTTCCTCACATGAACTCCCTCATATTTTGAAAAATTCATGCTCTACCCACTGTGCCTCTCCCTCACAGTGATCCGTTATAGGGTTATAGATATATTCAATTTTTGTTCTCTTTGATGTTTTAGGGTGATTTCAGAATGAGTAGAGGGACAGAAATTCTTTACTTGGAAATATATAGCTGGAGGTTAGCGTGCAGTATTTGTATATGAATTAAAGGTTAGTTTCAGTATTTGAGCATATGAAGTTGATATTTTAAAATTATTTTCACTTCTTTTAAATATAAATTTTACAAGTTATTTTGTTCTGAAATACCATATAACTAATTTTTATTAAATGTTTTAATTGAAATGTTTTAGCTTATTGCTTTATTTCTTTTAAAATGTATTCTAACATCTTGATTTCCTTTTGCTTTTCAGATGCAGCAACTGTTCCATGAAAATTATGAACACAATCGAAAGGGTTACATTCAAGACCTTCACAACAGCAAAATCCATGCAGCCATAACACTTCATCCCAACAAAAGGCCTGCCTACCAGTACAGGCTTCATAATTACATGCTGAGCCGCAAAATTTCTGAACTTCGCTACCGCACCATCCAGCTCCACCGGGAGAGCGCGCTGATGAGCAGGCTCAGTAACAGTGAGGTGAGCAAAGAGGACCAGCAGCTGGGAGTGATGCCTTCTTTCAACCACTTCCAGCCTCGGGAGAGAGACGAGGTGATCGAATGGGAGTTCCTGACAGGCAAGCTCCTTTACTCGGCATCTGAGAACCAGCCTCCTCGACAGAGCATCAGCAGCATCCTCAGAACGGCGCTGGATGACACGGTCCTGCAGGTGATGGAGATGATCAATGAGAACGCCAAGAGCCGGGGACGGCTCATTGACTTCAAGGAGATTCAGTATGGCTACCGCAGGGTTGATCCCATGCACGGGGTGGAGTACATTTTGGATTTACTCCTCTTGTACAAAAGACACAAGGGGAGGAAACTGACTGTGCCAGTGAGACGTCATGCCTACCTTCAGCAGTTATTCAGCAAGCCTTTCTTTAGAGAAACTGAAGAGCTGGACGTTAGCAGTCTTGTGGAGAGTATTAACAGTGACACTCAGTCATTTTCCTTCATATCTAATTCTTTAAAGATACTATCCTCTTTTCAAGGTGCCAAAGAAATGGGAGGGCGCAATGAAAAGAAAATACACATTCTTGTTCCTCTCATTGGAAGGTATGACATTTTCTTGAGGTTCATGGAGAACTTTGAAAATACTTGTCTTATCCCAAAGCAGAATGTAAGACTGGTCATCATTCTTTTCAGTAGGGATTCTGGCCAGGATTCCAACAAGCATATGGAGCTGATAAAAGACTATCAGAACAAGTACCCTAAAGCAGAAATGACCCTGATCCCCATGAAGGGAGAGTTTTCAAGAGGTCTTGGTCTTGAAATGGCTTCTTCCCAGTTTGACAATGATACTTTGCTGCTATTTTGTGATGTCGACTTGATCTTCAGAGGAGACTTTCTCCAACGATGTAGAGACAATACAATTCAGGGACAACAGGTGTACTACCCCATCATCTTTAGCCAGTATGATCCAAAGGTAACTAGTGCAGGAAATCCTCCCACTGATGATGATTTTGTCTTCTCAAAGAAGACTGGATTTTGGAGAGACTATGGATATGGAATTACCTGTATTTATAAAAGTGATCTTCTGGGTGCAGGTGGATTTGATACCTCAATACAGGGCTGGGGCCTAGAAGATGTAGATCTCTACAATAAAGTTATCCAATCCGGCTTAAGGCCCTTCAGAAGTCAAGAAGTAGGAGTGGTGCATATTTTCCATCCAGTTCATTGTGACCCTAACTTGGATCCTAAGCAGTATAAGATGTGCTTGGGATCCAAGGCAAGTACTTTTGCCTCAACCATGCAACTGGCTGAACTCTGGTTGGAAAAACATTTGGGTGTCAGGTACAATCGAACTCTCTCCTGACAGTCCAGGCAGCGCATATTGCCTTTTTAAAGGGGAGTTTACCTCATTGTCGGTGTTATTATTTTTATTTTATTATTGTTATTTTTATTATTATAATTATTATTGTCATAATTTTATTTTGTTGTCCTGGTCTTAAACAGCTCTTGGTTGTCTTTCAAGGGGTGTTTGTTGACCTCAAGCAAGAAGAGTCTGCAATTCACTGATTTTTCAGATTTCTACTGAAGTCAATATATGTATTACTTTTATATATCTTTATTTGAGATTGAGTTAAATCGTGGCAATCAAATGACTTTTGAAGTTCATTCATCATGAGAGACAGCTTAGAAGAATGTTCTCTTGGGCTTACAGATGCAATATCAACTTTTATTATGTTCGTGAAATTCAATGTGATACAAATATTTACTGGTGAAAGGTACCACAAAAGTGCTTTATGCTTCCTATGGGGAAGGGACTCTGTAACATAAACTTGAGTTTTGTAATTTATACAAGGACTTAAATATATAGACAATAATTTTCTTCATCTTTAGAATTTTTAAAGTAAATGAACACTTATGATTGTATGTTTATTTTTTAAAAAGAAGTTTTAAAAATTGAGGAGTTTTGTTCCACAAGCAACCGGTACTGGCTACCCTGGTCTTAAGAAAATTATGTACTCCTCACAACTGTCTGCTATAAATGCGAATGAACTTTATTTTCTCAAGGAAATATGATTTAATCAAATGTTCATGTACATTTTAGAAGCTTTATGAAACAATGTCCTTCATTTGCTGGCAAGAAGATAAAAATGACAGAACCTGGTTATTTATAATAAAACACAGGTATAACAGTATCCTTTTTCAAAAACACTGAAAAAGTCGTGTTGTTTCCTTTTAGTCATGGTTGATGTATTTCTTATAGTTGTTATAGTCACCAAAATGTGCTTGCTACACAGACTGGAAAAGTTAATAAGAGATTATGGGCATGCTATTTGCATTATTAAGCTTTAAATCTAGCCTTTATAAGTGATTAAAAAGAACAGTTTCTTTATTCAATAATTTTTAGTCCAGGAGAAGCATGCCTCCTCAACCTCTTCAGCTTAGTAATGAACCTGAACCCAGAACAGGTCAGGAACAACCTTTAATATGGATTGTAGATGCCTCAAAGATACAAAAATCAATGGGGAAATTATGAATATAAAATTAATTTTACAATTATAATTGTGAAAGTATAGAAAACACATAGGAAAATATCTCATTTAATTTCACATATCATTCTTTCTTAAAACTGAATTAATGGTTTCAATTTGTAGAAAAATATAATATTTTTCAAGAAAGAAAATGAAAATTCATGCAAGAAGATATCATGAAGGTATGTTTTTTAAATTTTACTTTGTAAATAGGTAACACATTTGCATGGCTCCAAATTAAACATAATTTTTAAATGTCTACAGCTATTGGTCCCATTCCCTATCCCCCAGGAATCTGTCACAACCACACATAACCACTGTTTGGGGTGTGTGTATGTGTGTTTTTTGTGCCTGTCTTTCCAGAGTTTCTTAAGCAGAAAAAGACACATGCTTTCTTTTTCTACCCTTTAAATATACAAAATGTAGCACATTGTACATACTATTCTGCATTTTGCGTTTCTTACACAATAAGACTAAAATTTTCATCAAAATAATTTGAAAGTGATTGTTATAAATTGTTACCATTATTTGGAACTGATTGACAGGAGGTCATGTGGCATTTGCCTTAGGAATGGTAATCTCTTTTAGTGAAGACATTTTGGGGGCCTCAGGAAAATAATATTGCTTAATATTGCAACAGACATGATGGCACTCTCCTTGGCTGTAACATATAATCTTCATAATGTCATATTCATTAGAAAGGAATTAATGGCACTTTTCAATGTTAAAAAACTTGACAGGGCCAACAATTCACAATTGATCTCTGCTCTGATATTGTCACTGGCCTTCACAAACCCTTACTTTAATAGCTTGTTTTTCTATATTGCATGACTTAGCTCTTTTGCAGGTTTTATTTTCCTGAATAGTATATATGTTAACATGCAGTAAAGATAGTTATTTGGGAAAATCTATTACTAAATAACAATTATTAATGATTTTATTAATGAAGAAAAGAAATCGGGGTCTGCTCTTTTCTTTAACTTAGACAGCTGAAAAAAAACACAGTTTTATAGAGGATTAAATATAGGGCTCCATTTAAAACACCCCAAGTCTTAGTCAAGAGGCAGTTTCCCAGGAATGAAGTGACATTCTCTCGTTATACTGGTGAAATTATACTGATGAAACAAGGGAATTCAGATATCTCAGTTGAACATACTGTACTGAAATTAATATAGGTGTATTTAAATTCTATTTTATAATTTTGCATTAAGCTTTCCTGTGATTTTTTTTCAAGAACTGCAATATTTTCTGACTGAAAATTTATTAGAATTACACTTGGTAATATTAAGAGTGTTTTTTCATCTGTTTAGTATCGATTGCTCAAAATTCCTTTAAGGTTAAAAAGCAACACAGTGTGAATGGAACCTGAAGCACAACATATGTATGTTATTGACATTACCTTATTTAGACAGCTATGGATGTTCTGTTAAATGTTCCCCAATAACAATTTCATCAACCTTCAACATCATCTTATTGATCAACTGCTGTCCACTCAACACCACACTATGAATTTTACTTGCATTGTCCTTTTAAATTTAATCCTCACAACAGATCTCAGAATATTGTTATTTCCTTCATTCAACAGATACAGAAACTAGGCCACAAGTGATTAAGTAACTTGTTTCAAGTTCATACCCTTGGTGTGCTGTGTTGTTAAGATTTAAGTTAATTGCTGACTGAATCTGAAGCACGTGTCTTTTCACTTTAACCCATGGCTTCTCAGTTGTGGGGGTGATGTAGGAGACAACGGGGGAGCAAGGGCCTAGCTGACACCACGGGCATGTTGGATCCACCGTTCAGCTTGCTTCTGCTCTACGCTCATTCTGGACAGAGCTAAATTTGCTCTTCAGGTTTTTAACCTCAGTGCTCCACCTCTTTGCTAGCTCTGTCTGAGTAATCCTGCTTTGGGAAAGGGTTTCTCTGTCCAATTACTCACATGTCCCTGGACCTCAGCCAGCAGAAAAAAATGCTCAGAATTCCTGATGCCAGTGGCAGCCCTTCTACATGGTCTCAGCCAGCTGACAGCACAAGCTGTCCACAGTGAACACCACCATGTAATTGCTGGACTATGTGTGTCATTTCACCCATACAGACTTGGCTGAAGCAACTGTGTCAGAGCTGAGATATTTCTGAATCTAAAGGTGGACGCCATTATGCCTAGTTAATAGAAGGGGAGCTACAGGAGTGAAATACCCAACTGTGGACTGGTAGTCCAACCCAGAGACGAAATGTTCACTGGAAAGGTAAATTAGAAAGCTCCTCTGTTTTTAGCATAACAAAGCTGGAGCCCATCTCTAGCCAGCAGCCCATGGCTGAGACACTCGGGCAGTCTGCATTTTCAGACTGGCCCTGGGCAGTTCCTTCTTCCAGGACGAAGCCCAGATGAGGCCACTTTCTAAAGGCTGGGATTTCCCAAGTGAGAGGCTGTAGTGCTGCCAGGCCAAGGGAGCCCTCACCCAGCACTGCCTTGTCCTGGAGGAAACAGGTCAAGCTAGACTTGGACCTAGAAAAACTTTGTGTCTCCCCTCTTTACCCCTCCCCACCCAAGAAAAGATCTATTGAAGCAGATAAAATGTATCAATATGAGTGTCAAATGACCAGTAAAATATTTGTAGCCCTGCCTTGGCCCCGGTGGTGAGGTTTCCATGGGAGAATGACGCATCGCTACACCTTCCATTGTGTAGGCCCGCTGCCTTTCCCTACCGCCTGCTGCTTTCTGAGTCCCTGCGTCTTTGTCCTCAGAGCCGTGGGAACCTAGTGTGCCTCCCCTTAGGGATGCCTCTAAGAGGGGCCTGCCCTACAGAAGCCACCCCTTTATTTGCAGTTTTGCTTCCTGTGGTTTCAGTAACCCTCCGTCAACCTCAGTCTGACTTATTAAGTGGAAAATTCCAGAAATAAGCAATTCTTACGTTTAAACTGCACTCCATTCTGAGTAGTGAGGAGATTTCACGAGTCCCGCTGGGCCCTCCCAGCCGTGACTCGTCCACCTGCCCGGCGTCTCTGGGCTGGAGACCTCTGGCCTGTCACTTTCCTAGTGGCCGGGTCCCCTTGGTTATCAGGCCTGCTGTCACAGCAGTGCAGTGCCAGTGCTCCAGCCACCTTTATTTTACTTCATGATGACTTGGACCCACAGAGTAGTGACGCTGGCGATTCGGACATGCCACAGAGGAGCCCTGAAGTGCTTCCTTTAGGTGGAAGGGTGAAAATTCTCACTTAATAAGGAAAGAAAGAGTCTGTGCTGAGGTTGCTGAGACCTAAGGTAAGAACCAGTCTTCTCTCTTTGAAACTGAAGAAAAAGTAAACCCTTGCCAGTTTGCTGAGGGGGA